GAGGCAGTTGGTGTGAGCTTAGGTGGACTCCGGGAGATGGTGGAGGATAGGAAGGCCTGGAGGAGTGTTGTCCATGGGGTCGCAATGGGTCGGACACGACTTCGCGACTAACAACAACAAAATGCTCTTGTAATAGCTTTAACTATATGCCCAATGCTTCCTGATGTGTCTAGGAAAATGATATATTTATTCATACTTATTTTAAATCGATAAGTTTTGAGTATCGTCTTTAAGTAACCAAACCTGAAAAATCAGAGATGTAGCCATAATTTTATTAGCTATTTTCATAGGGCTCACATCATGGGAGCCTGTTTAGCTCTTTTAATTGAGCAGAAGCACATATAATCAATAGCTGTTAATAACCAATTCTCACAACTTGGAGAAATAAACTACAATACATAAATGTGTGAGACTGCTAACCTGAAGATAGTACTTCAGGTGCTGTACCATAGACTATATTTTGATTCATGGTTCAAATTACAATATTTGGGAGTGACCTGAGTTGTACTTTTAGGCCTCTCATTGCTTTGTCTACTCTCAAAGAAGCTAACAGAGCGGTCTTACTGAAGGTAGGGACAACTGAAGTCAGAAAAATCACCTTATACAGTGCCCTATTGGGCTCATGCAACCATTGTCCTCTCTCCCTTCCTGCTCCATTTGGTTTGTTTTTCACAATTTTCCTCCCACTGGAATATGTGGGCCCCCCTTGGATGCCATCTTAACATGATGAGGGGATTTGAGAGTGTCAGAGAATTCCAGAGCAATGCTGCAAGTCTGATGTCCTGGCAGGTCACCCAAGGAGGAATGGTCATAGCTAAGACCCTGGTGTAAGCAGCATCCACCCTCTTCAGGAGGATTGGGCGTATCAGCAGAAAAGAATGAAATCAATGACACAGAGAAATTCCTAATTCCTGGTTAGTACTGAGCAGAAGACAGCAGTGGTAAACCACTTCTGATTTTTTTTTACCTTGAAAACCCCCTATGATGAAACCATCCAAAATGAACTGAGATGATACTAGAAGATGAAACTCTCAGGTCATAAAGGACTCAGCCAGCTACTGGGGAAGAGCGAAGGACAAGTAGGAATAGCTCACTCACTAATGAAGCAACCAGATCAAAGCTGAAAGGAAATTTTGTGGTTGACATGCACAGAGGTGAAAGGAAAATCCAATGCTGCACCACTTATTCAATTGGAACATGGGATGCAATTAGTATAAATCAAAGGAAAGTGGAAACCTTAAACCAAGAAGAAGAATGATTAAGCACTGCCGTACTTGGAGTGAGCTTAATCGAACTGGAATGGGACATTGTCAGGCAGACAAACACAAAGTGTGTTACTCTAGGAATGAAAAACTCAGAAGAAATGAAATGGCTCTAATATTGAGGCAAGATGTAGCACAGGCAGTAAGGGGATATAATGCAAAGTCCCAACTGAGAATTCTTGGAAACCTATAATCATAACTATTGTTCCATTCTACGTTCCAAAAGCAAATACTGAAGAGAAAGTAATTGGAAACTTTTATGGAGGCATCCAAGAGAAAATTGATAACACACCAGAACAAGACATGCTGATAATCATAGGTGACTGGAAGGCAAACGTAGGAAATAAAGCAGAATCCAGTGTTGTGGGAGAATTTGACCTAGGCATCAGAAGCAAAGCAGCACATAGAATTCTGTGGAGCTAACCATCTGTTGATTACAAATATATCAGGCAACTAATCAGACAACTGTACACATGGACATCACCATATGGCCAACACAGAAATCAAATAGACTATGTAATATGTACATTCATAGTAGTGGCCATAAACTCTTACTATCAAAAATAAAGGGTAAAGCTGAAAAAGATCACTTTCAGAGACATAGTGCCCAAATACAATTTAAATAGCATTCCTGAGGAATTATAGGCCACTTAAAGAACAGATTTACATTACAAAAGTAGAAAAACAAGATACCTCTTCCAGAAGTTCCAAAAAAATTAGGGAATTTCAAACCTAGATGAGGAATGCTGAAAGACCAACAGAGGAAACATACCATCCCCTAAATAAAATAAGAAGGTAGAAACAATATATGGGAAGAACTATCCAGAACTGAGAAGAAGAAGGTGAAGTGAAAGCAATTCTGAAAGCACTTGGAATAGAGCACCCAGTAAGGTATCTATAGAAGTCTTCCAAAGCTGCAGAAACCAAATCAGTCCAAATCTGAACAGGAACATGCCAACAAAAAACAAAATAGTGGCTGCAGGCTGGAAGCATTCAATATGCATTCTAGTGACCTAGAAAGAAGCTGCTAAAGAATTCAACAACTAATTTCTTATGGAAGCAAAGTGATGCTCAAGGAGTTGCAACAAAGTATGGTTGAGCGTGTTATGTGCAATTGTTATGAGCATGCCTGAGCCCCATCCCTTTGGGAGGGGCTTTCTGAAAGTGAGTACACCTCTTCCCACATGCCAATCCTCTAATTGGACTGCCCTTGTCTGCTGAGGTTGCATTGTGCAGTCAAGAACTGGGGCTGTCTGGTCTGTGTCTGAGCAACTCCCATGCTCTGGGTTCCCTCCTGCCATCTGTATAGCTTCATTATTCCCAGGAACTGCCTGCCCACCTGGAAAGTACTGTTGCATCTCAGCATGGCCCATACCTCCCACCCCCCTTCTAATTTACATTCTCATTCTTATTCAGATTAATCCCAGCCTACAGTCCTTGAGAACAGCACCCAAAGCACCTATCCTTCTAACTCCCAATGGAAACTATGCATTCTGATGGGTGTGAAGAAAGGTGGCAGGAAGACAATGGAATGTTTGCAACATGGTATTAGAGGAGAGCTTTGTGAATACCCTGGACCCAGAGAAAGATGAAGAAGTGGATCGTAGGTCAAATGAAGCCAGGACTTACTCTAGAAGCCAGAAGTACAAAACTTGAATCTATTGTACTTTGAGCACATTGGGAGAAGGTCACGCTTGCTCGAGAAGGCAGTCATGCCAGGAAAAGTTGGAGGAGGAGGAGGACCAACCATAAGATGGAAACCTTTGAGTTTATAAGAGCTGAGCAGGACTGTACAGGATAGGACATTTTGGGGGTATTCACTCACATGGTCACCATAAGGTGAAGATGACTTCATGACATGTAAGAACAAATAATTTTATGGGAGGATTGTGTTAGCTCCAGTGCTGGTGTTCATCTTGTCTTGCACGGCTATCTAGGAACTGGGAGTATTGAAAACTTTCCCTGCTTTGCACCCACCCCCCTTTTAACTGATCTTGGAGCCCTCTTCTTAGAGATCATAGGATTGCAATCTGAAGTGTTCCATGGATGCTATTATCTAACATTGTTCACATGTTTATTGCAAGCACAATCTGTAGAGACAACTGTTAGGATTTTTTTCCCCAAACAATTGCACCTGATCAATGAGCATTTACACAAAAGAACTAAACCAGCAGCTCGGTACATCCCAGAGTGCTTCATTGCATAATATCTCTATTTAGTAGGTAATCAACACTTGTGACCTACACTTGCATCATCCTTAACATTTGTCCATGCAAGAGCAAACAAGTGTTGTTGGTGATAGTATATAGTTTGATCATGTTATTTAGTACATATTGCAACAAAAACAGCGTTCTGGCTGGCTTTAAGATCTGGTAGAATGTCAGATTTTGGGACTTTCTTGAGATGGTCAGCTATGGTTGAGCACAGCTAGAAATTATTGTGCTGTTATAAAACCTCCAGTCCTTCGCAAATGCATCTTGGAAGTAAATACTCCAGAAATTGAATTTTGAATATCAAGAGACCTGATGTGATGGAATTATTTTGTCTTCATAGAGATAAAAATTATCAAGCTGCTGTGTGGTTGCTATAGGAATAAATCAGTGGTGATACAGTTTTAATTTACTGAATATAATTTTTTTCTTGACATTGCAGGCTTGGCTGATAAAAGCTTTGGATGGTGTCTTTTTATCTTTCCTCTCTTGTCTGCATGGGTTGCTCTTGCTTGCTCACCAAAGCAACCTGTGGTCATATTATTTTCTGAAAACTGCTTAGGAATGTGGAAGAAGACTTAAAAAATAAAACCTGCAGCTTTCTCTAAATACCTACATGGGAGACTGGGGTGGGAGGCGAAAACAATACGACAGTGCAAGTTTGACAGACCAAAGGCTGTTCCTTTAAAAGACATACTGATTCAAGGCTTCAGGTGTTCTATTTAAGAACTGAATGTTTGTATTCTGAATTAACAACCATCTCAGACTCTTTTTATTATCCACTTCTTGGGTAGCCAAAGGATTAGCTCTGAAATAAGCTAGCTGCAGTTAGGTTCCACTGAAATAAATGCAAAAAGGTAGGTATGAGTAAATGAAGTACAGCTGCCTTAAATGGGAGCCAAGTTCAACTAAGTGACTTCGGAAGGACTTGATCTTAGCTCTGGATGGTCTAGTTCCTAGTAATGAGTTATGATAAATGAATCCTCTTATATTTCCACAGTTAAAAAATGTACTTCCTCTTTTAATACTGGGAAAAAGAGAATTCCTTCCATGTGAGCAGTTTGACAGTCTTGCTTCTCAGGTCATCCTTGTGAGATGTGTAAATGTGAAGGGACTAGTTAAGAAAAATAGGGTGGCAAATGCATGGTTCTTTTGCGAAGCTGGAAGAAACCACTTTATTCTGCAGTATTGAAGATATTGCCTGTTATGCACATCATGACTTGATTAAAGAACATCTAGACTGCAAATCCCCAAAATGTAATATTTGTCTCCATTCAGCTGTGGACTTTACTGTCCCTTATTCAAGTATTTGCATTTCATGGCTGGGGGTCAGATCTCTGTGCCTTTATGCAAACTGTTCATAATAGCAGATACTGGCTCTGGAAAATTAGTGTCAAGGATGGTGATGGAACATCTTCCTTTGATTGAAGGTAAATTGAAAATGTATTAGATATTTTTCAGTCTGGTAATGTGGTGCAAGCCATGGAGTGTTGTCTCTAATACAGCATCAGTTCCGATGACATTTCAGGCTTTTAACTTACATTTCACCTTGCAGAGTGTATAAAGTGAAACCTGTAAATGTGAGAGAAGTTATTTCTGAACACTTAAATATACAGTGAATTTAGTGAAGAAGGAAATAGCCACCTTCATACAGCACAGATTTTAGGTGTGCTTATTTTTCAAACACTGACCCTTTCTTTCTCAGTTCTTCATCCCACTTTCCCTACTCATTCCAGGGAATTTTGGAAAATGGTCATGATTTGACATAAAGCATGTTTTAAAACCTGCTCAGTCAGACTAATAAGAGAGATTTAGCAGGTGGAAAGTGCTTCTGTTTATGTATGGAAGGGAGAGCACTATTTCCTTGTGGTGGCAGCTTCTTCCATCTCATGGAGTACCAGTCTGGGAGGCCTCTAACTTCCAGCAGTTGCTGGATGAATGGGCTGAAAAGCCCTTATATACTGATGGAAAACTACATGCAGCAGTAAGGATCCTGGGAATATACAGAGTTTTGATGCATCTCTATGATTATTTTATGTATTCTGGTTGCACAACCTGCTCTAGCCAGTTCACCGTGAAGCTTGCTCTCTGTGGGCTGCTTCACACATAATGTAGCATCAAATGTGTGTTTGCAGTGCGTGTGACAAGCCGTGGATAGTCCCTGATCTCTGGCAAACACAAGCACACATGTTGTTTTAAATATGTATGTTTAAAATAGTTTATGCATATGTCGCCATAAAAATCCAAATGAAATACCCTGAAGAAGATTTCCATTCTGCTCACTATGCTCAGAAGTAACTGTTGCCTTTCCTTTAATAATAACCCTCGGGTTATTTCAAGCTGTCTGTAACAACTTGTATGCAATTCCCTTTGGTTTTCCTCATAGGTATATGTTTTGTTTGTCATATTTATTTAGGTCATGGTTGCCATAATGTTGCTAGGAGGGGACATTTACTCCTGGGTGGAGGATGTGGGGATAAATATGTATGTGTTAGAGCCCCATGCTCTGTATCCAGTATAGTTTAACAATAAAACTACATCATTATTTTATAATTTGTTATAAGGGTTCGTATCTTGGAATAGTCAGGTACTTTGCCAGCTTTAATGTCCCTGGTCTTTCTGCCTATCAGTCACAATGCACTTGTTTCAGATTCTTAAATAGTTCTGCCAGAAAGCACCTTGTCCCCTTAACCCCTTTTCAACGAGACAGCTCAGTTGCTGCTTCTTTCAACTGACTCTCCCTAATGTTTTGCAATTTGCCTCTTCACTCACCCCACCCCCATTTTCCCTTGGAAACTTGAGTCCCGAGAGGTAAGCTGAACAACCATTATTAGTCTACTATTCTATAGTATGCAGTACATAATTATGGGTGATGAGTTTTATACATGTTTCTTTGTGTTTCTTTTAGGATTCACCCTTTACAAATGCAGGAATGGGGTCTAATCTAAACCTTCTTGGCGACATAGAATGTGATGCCAGTATTATGGATGGAAAGTCACTAAATTTTGGAGCAGTTGGTGCTCTCAGTGGTATGTTGATCAAACTTTAAACAGTGGAATATTGAAATTCAAGAATATTTCTGAGCATGCATCTTAATATTGTACCACACCAAACTGAAATGTTAACAAAATTTAACATTTAACAAAGACACCTCTTAAGTAGGTGTAGTAATCACGGCTGCACAGAGTGTAGGAAACTGTGTACTGGAAAGTGTGTTCCTGTTTGCAGGGCAGAACCCATAGCTGAATGCTTGCGTTCAGTTGTTGACTGCTTAATATTGTAGGATGTCCTACAGCAGATGCATTTCACAAATGGTTGAAACATTTAAACAGCTGAATAAATTGTTCAGTTAAATAATTTAAGTCATCATTCTCCACCTTTTTGGGGCCACTGGGCACATTTGACATTTTGAAAAAGTGTGCTGGGTGCCACCATAAATTGGCTGATCTAGGGAGGGTAGGGGCCAGTCTTTCCCTTGTGTATGTGTGTGTGTGCATATGCATGAGCTCTTTTCTCTCCTTGCTTCTCTCTCATTTCTCAGGCACCTTTCTTTCTCCCGATGTTTCTCTGGCTCCCAGGCCCCATCTTCCATTCCATTCCATTCCATTCCATTCCAATTTATATGTATGTATTTAAAAATGTGTATGCCGTCCATTACAGTCATCTCTGGACAGCTTGCAACATTATTTCAAACTACAGTAAAATAAGATAAATTAACTATTCCACACTGAACATCATTTAAAATAAATTAAATTACTATGTGTTAAAATACTGGCCAAATAAAAAGGTCTTGACCTGGTGCCAAAAAACATATAAAGACAGTGCCAGGCGGACCTCTCTAGGGAGTGCATTTCATAGTCAGGGCACCACCGCAGAGAAAGCTCTCCGAGTACTCTGTCTCCTAACCTCTTTCAAAGAGGGTTCCTGGAGTAGGGCCTCTGCTGTCAATCTTAGGGGGTGGGAGGGCATGTAGGGAAAAAGGTGTTCCTTTAGGTATCCTGGTCCCAAGCTGCTTAGGGCTTCATAGGTAATAACCAGCACCTTGAATTAAACCCGGACTTCGATGGGAAGCCAATGGAGCTGATAGAGGACTGGAGTTATATGAGAATAACGACCAGTCCCTGACAGTATCCTGGCAGCTCTATTTTGCACCATCTGAAGTATCCAGACTGTTCTTCAAGGGCAGCCCCACATAGAGTGCATTACAGTAATCCAAACAGGAAGTAACCAATGCGTGTGTCACTGTTGCTAGGCAGTTCTCCTCCAGGTAAGGATGCAGCTCATAGATTAGCCGAAGCTGAAGGAAAGTGCTCCTCGCCACCGCCGTCACCTGGGCTTCCAAGGACAGCTCCGGGTCAAGGAGCACTACTAAGGTGCAGACCTTGTCCTTTAGAGGGAGTGCAACCCCGTCCAGGGCAGGGCCGAAGTCACCTGGAAGCTCGAATCACCTAACAACAGGACCTCCATCTTATCTGGATTGAGCTTCAGTTTATTGGCCCTCATCCAGCCCATTACCTCGGCCAGGCACCAGTTCAAGACAGCCACTGCCTCATCTAGATTGGTTGAAAAAGAGAGGTAGAGCTGGGTGTCATCAGCATACTGATGATTCCACAGCCAAAACCTCCTGCTGACTTCTCCCAGCGGTTTCATGTAGATGTTAAATAGCAAGGGGGACAAAATGGAGCCCTGCAGTACTCCATGGCAAAGTTGCCATGGCGCAGAGCCAAAGTCCCCCAGCACCACCTTCTGGAATCGGCCGGCAAGGTAGGAGCAGAACCACTGCCAAGCAGTGCCTCCTACTCCCAATCCCGCCAGCCTATCCAGAAGGATACCGTGGTTGATGGTATTGAAAGCCACTGAGAGGTCCAGGAAAACGAACAGGGACACACTCCTCCTGACCCTCTCCCTGCACAGGTCATCATCTTCCATCTCTATGACTCCTTTCTCTACCCTTTTCCTCTCACCTACCTCCCCCTCTTCTGGCTCCTCCTCTTCTCATCCGTCCTTCTTTGTTCTCTCTTTCATGCCCATTCCCTGCTCATCCCTTCCTCCTTATTTCCATGCAAGTTAACGGAAGACTTTTTCCATTCATTTATATGGAGTGAGAAAAAGTCTGCACAAAATTGGCTGGAGTGATTTAGAAATTCACCACCACACAAAGACTCCTCGTGACCCAAGATCCTCGGTGGAGGGTTTTTGGCAAGAGGCCTTTCGACTTGTACAAATAAATGTAGATATCACCCCATTCACCTGCTCAGGAGAAAAATAGCATGGTGGGTTTTTCAGCTGGTCTTACAGGTGTAGTGGTGTCCAGACCAGGGGAGAGGGACTCATGGGGGAGACCCTTGATTAAATACAAGCTAGCCAAAATCTCAGTGGCCATCTTTTTTAAATGACTTGTCTCTTTCAGGAATCAGAAACCCTGTTTCTGTCGCAAATAGATTGCTGTGTGAAGGGCAGAAGGGAAAACTCTCTGCTGGCAGAATTCCACCATGGTAATTAGTTTATTCTGTTTGCCTCTTCTTGGGGGCTGTAATACATGCAATATTTTGGAAATCATTCTTATTAAAAGAAGGCTGATGCTATTTAGTGCACATCAGTAATAGCAGGCTTTTAAGATGAAGACTGGGTTGTTCATTGATCTTGGAACATCTTGTACAGTTATTACAGCTGTAAATAGAATAGAATATTAAAGATAAAAGGCAATGTTATGTTGAGTTTCAACTGCTTTCTTTGTGGATGTTTATATAGATTTACACTGTTACCAAGCTTTTATTTCTGATCTTTTGGGTTTGAAATGTAAATGTCCAATAAATCAAACCTCAAAGCTAAACATAGGTTGTTGTTGAGAAATCTTAGATTTTTGCTTTCCTTTTTTCCTGGATTTTAAAGAACTTAGCATATGATCTCATTTTTCTTTCAGAGAAAAATATTTTTAAGTTCTTTCAGTATTTGTATCACATTGAGGATAAGCTATAATTGTGCTCATCCTCTACAACTGTAATAATTTTCAAGCTTGGAGAAGAAAGGGCATAGTATATTTCAATTATTCTCTGAGCAGTCAGTTCAAATAGATTAGATCATAAGACATCTTGTATATCTAGAAAGATGTTGTGGATTACTTATTATGATAAGCATAATACTTTGCCAACCTGTTGGAATTTTTCTGTTGTTTCCAGGTGCTCTGTAAGCATTGTTTTTCTTGGACTTTCAAGTGACCCTTGGTAAAATCGCTTACCTACCACTTTTATGGAAACTCAGAAACTATGGAATTTAAAGATAATCTTTCATCTTGTACTATTTTGCTTCCAGGATCTTGTTGTTACAACAGAGGTGTTGACATGGTTAATTCCCAATGGGACTAATTGTTACAGAGGCCGTTTTGAGTATTTGGGGTGCAGCAGGAATGTACTACAGCTGCTTATTTTGTGTAAACCCAGCAAGAGTGGGTTGTTGGTGTGGTTGAGAAACAATGCAGACTCATTGGGTAATTTTAAGATTATTGTGGCTTGACAAACACCCAACAACTGACTCTTACTGGAGTTCCAGTAACAAGAAGCTGTGATACACCCCTGTCATGCCCTGAATATTCAGAATGTCAGCTTGTAACTACAATAAGATGTTTCTCAGGGAAATGTACCCACAGTATGTGAGAAACAGCTGGTGACTTACTCCCCTAATAGCCATAATAGGACTATTTAAGTGTAATCTTGAATAAAACAGGGAAAGCTTGTCAACTGTTCTATTTCAACAGAGCAACACAAAAAGAGGAGGCGGGAGTATGCATTTAAGCAGTTGGTTAGCTTCTTCAGAAGGATAAAGGCTGCTACTACAAAAATAGTTTTTGAATGGCAGCCATGTATGTATACTTGTGGGTTTTATTTTGCTTGGGAGACTTTTAATTTATAAATAACTTTATGTATAGGAAACATAATGCAAATAATTTGACAGTTTCTATAACGAACAGACGTTGTATGTGAGGGCGTGTGTAGGTATGTGTCTGTACTTGTGCTGCTAAGATTCCTTTACCAAGTGGCTGGACTTGTGTTAATAGATATGGTGCAGCTGGGATAAATGCATCAGTCCAGCTACTAAAAAAAAGAATGTTGAAGTTATGATAGAGAGCTCTCAGGAATGTCAAAGAGAACCCTGCTACTGTGCCTTAATAGCAAAATGGTGAAATATTAACAATTAGAAAAGGAACAGTTTATAACTCAGTTATGTCTATAATCCTATTATATGTTTGCCTAAACTTAGGCTGTTTGGATAGTTCTAACTGCCCAACTTTAGACATGGAGCAATAGTACCAATAGAAGTGTGTGTTTACAACATCACTAAGCTTTTGCTTCAAGGTACAAATGCAGCATATAATTAAATAATTATTTTAAAAGTTTAGACAAAAATAGTCAATAAACTC